GTCGTGCTCTGCCACTGTCGAGGGCTCTGGGGCGCTGCCCTTTGTGAGGGGCGCTATGTAAATGCAAGTTTTTATTATTGTTTTTAAAAGGCAACGGATAGTGTTGTGGGGGGGGAGGGACGGGAGTGGGGGGGTGGGGGTTCGAGGGAGGTTTATAAAGTGTCTGGAGGCTGTGCCCCCCCCCCCACAGCCTCGTGGCTCCCGGGTTACAGTGACCGCCTCCCCTCCCCCGGCCAAGCCGCCCCCAAATAATAATAATAAATATGTATTAAAATTAAAATAACAATCCCTGTATTTGATACAGCGCCTGATCACGTCGTCGAGACCCCTCAAAGTGCTTCACAGCATATACTGTAAAGTATATGGAGGGGGGGGTTCAGACTCACCGAGAACAACATGTTTTTCTTGTCCTGATTGACGGCTCGAGGGTCTGGCACAGGGTCCGTGTGTTTGATGACAGAGACCGACTCGCCTGTGAGAGAGGAGAAGTGAGATGAGGATCAGGGCACCCCCTCTTGCCCTCTTCCCCAACATCCTCACCCCCCACCCTCCACCACAGCCTCCCTCGGTGTCTCCCCATCTCATGGCCCACCCGGGACCCTGGGACTCATCTATAAACCGGTGCGAGGTTGCGGTGGTCGGGCCGATGATCGGGCTTTACTGCTGTTCCCCAGGTCTCACCCCTCATCACAGTGTTACTGCTCAGGTACTACACACCTGCCCAGACTCCTGGTGTCCCTTCTTCCTGCCACTTCCCTGCACTCCCCCTTCCCACCCACACTCCCGTTCCTCCCACCGCACACCCACTGGATACCCCTCCCTCCACAGACAAACATCCCACCTCTCCCCTCACCGCCCCCCTACCCCTCCCTCACCCACCGGTCAGGATGGACTGATCCACACGCAGGGTGGTCGATTTGATGGATATAATCCTGATGTCAGCGGGAACCTTATCTCCGACTGCAGAGGGGAAACACAGATTAAAAACCAGGAATGTCGGCAAACCACTCCGGCATCGCCCGGGGCTCAGCAATCGCCTTCCCGAGCCGTCACCATGCGTCAGTGGACTTTTGTAAACTTTTAGAATAACAATAATAATAATCCTTGCTTTTGATGCAGCGCCTCATCACGTCATTGAGACAACCCAAAGCCCTTCACAGTGAAGTGACCGTGTTTGTTGTGGATGAAACACGTGTTAACTCGTGGAAACATCTCAAAACACTTGACAATAATTCCCGTAAAGTGTAACGACCGTGTGATTTATGGGCACATACGCGGAGCGATGTCCCTGCAAACAATTGTCAGCCAGGACACTGGAGTGTGGGGGTGGGTAAGAGAGAAAGACCCTCCTCTTTTCCAACAGCCCCGCGGGAGATCTCTAACGTGGCACTCTCCCCCTCCGCGCCCCCCCGCAGCGCTGCACTGGAGGGTCAGCCTGGACTGCGAGCTCAAAGCCCCCAACTTTGCCTCCTGGCCGGGGTGACACCCAGATTGAAACAATGAATGTTTATGGGCAACATAAGGCAATTTACGATTGTTTCCATGGAGACTATTTAATATTCTTAAAATATAAATATAACCTCTCCTTTTACAGCCCTCGGCCACCCGAGCGATTGCAGTATTTATTTGCTGAATAAATAGCTGTAATCAAGCCTCAGCCATAACATCATTATACTAATAATAGTCCTTGCATCTGATATCGGGCCTTATCACATCGTCGAGACGGGTCAAAGCTCTTCTGCACTATAAAATAAATTGACTGCATTTTGTGGGCGAAATGCTTCGAAAAGTCTCAACAATGTGATAAGACGCAAAATCAAATACAAGGATTATTCTTATTATTGTTTTACACAGCGATCCACAGCACACGCAGGACACAGTCCCTGTGCACGCCCACAGCGCAAACGCACACGCATACACCCAGCACAGCCTCCCCCCACACAGCGCACAGCACAGCCCCCGCACCGCCCAACACACACAGCACAGCCCTCCCACCCCCCCACACAGCACAGCCCCCACTCCCACACACACACACAGTACAGCCCCCGCACCGCCCAACACACACATATACGCACACACAGCACAGCCCCCACCGCCCCCTGCCCCCCCCCCCACACACAGCACAGGCGCAGACGCTGTGTCACGTACCCGCGATCTCCACGATGTCTCCGGGTACGATGTTGCGGGCTTTGATCCTCTGCACAGCCTTCCTGTCCAGACGATACACTTTGCCCATTTCCGGCTCATATTCCTTTAGAGCCTCGATCGCGTTCTCTGCGTTTCTCTCCTACAACAACCAATGTGGGCAATGAGGCACGGGGTGGGGGGGCAGGGGCTGGGGGCTAGGGCTGGGGAGCTGGGGGTGAGGTGGGGGGAGGGGGGCGGGAGAGCTCAGGACACAAGTTTACTCTGAGCATCAACAGGGAAGTCTCTGACCCCCTCACGCTGACATTGGTGGCTTGCATCATCATCATCATCATCAGTGACCGGGCTTTCAGCCTCTCTGCCCCCACACTCTGGAACTCCATCCCACGGTCCCTTGGCCTCGCTTCCTCCCTCGCATCCTTCAAGGCCGGTCTCAAGACCCTTCTCTTCAACCGTGCCTTTGGTCTCCCTCCCACCTCTCTACCTTCCCTCACCCTTACACCACCCCTCCCCCACGTGGGTTATGGCCGGATCCATTCACGTTGTCCAGACTGAGGTGGACAGATGTTTGTGAGGTCAGGGTGTCAAGGGATACCGGGCAAAGGTGGGTAATTGGGCTCGAGGTACAGATCACCATCTCACTGCGATCAGAAACCCTACTCCTCCCCTGGCCCCCCCCTCACCTGCCCCGGCCCCCCCTCACCTGCCCCGGCCCCCCCCTCACCTGCCCCCCCTCACCTGCCCCGGCCCCGCCCTCACCTGCCCCGGCCCCACCCTCACCTGCCCCGGCCCCCCCCTCACCTGCCCCGGCCCCCCCCTCACCTGTCCCGGCCCTCCCTCACCTGCCCCGGCCCCTCCCTCACCTGCCCCGGCCCCGCCCACACCTGCCCTGGCCCTGCCCTCACCTGCCCCGGCCCCGCCCTCACCTGCCCGGCCCGGCCTCACCTGCCCCAGCCCACCTTCACCTGCCCCGGCCCCACCCTCACTCACCTGCCCCGGCCGCACCCTCACTCACCTGCCCCGGCCCCACCCTCACCTGCCCCGGCCCCACCCTCACTCACCTGCCACACCCCCACCAGAGCGTTGAGGATCAGGATCATCAGAATCACCAGAGGCTCCACAAAGGACGTCAAAGTCTGTTCCTCCTCAAACCAGGCCAGGACCTGAGACAAGAGAGGCCGTCAGCGCCGGGGGAACAACCACCCCCACCTCCCCCGCCCCCCACACACGCTCAGCACTGGCTCAGGAGGCTGTGGGTTTGAGCCCCCACCTTGAGGATTATGAGCTCACAGTCCTGGCTGGTGCCCCACCATGGTGCTGGTTGGGTGGGGGTGGTGGCGGAGGGTGGGGGGAACCGCATTGTCAGAGATGACGTTGGGGAGGGATGTTTGTTGACCCGAGCTCCCCAGTGGGTTCCTGTCTCTGTCCCCCCTCCCCCCCCGGAGCTCTGCCCCCCCTTCCCCCACACCGCGCTGCCCCTGCGCTTTGCGCCCCCCCAACTACGCCAATGGGTACTTACGAACGAGACGCAGGCGGCGAGCACCAGGATGCGCACCAACAGCTCCTTGAACTGCTCCAACACCAGTTCCCAGAGAGACTTCCCTGTAACCACACACACAGGTCACAGCGGCACGTGGACCCCCCCCACACTGACAGGAGCCCCTCCCCCCACACTGACAGGAGCCCCTCCCCCCACACTGACAGGAGCCCCTCCCCCCACACTGACAGGAGCCCTCCCCCACACTGACAGGAGCCCCTCCCCCACACTGACGGGAGCCCTCCCCCACACTGACAGGAGCCCCTCCCCCACACTGACAGGAGCCCTCCCCCACACTGACAGGAGCCCCTCCCCCACACTGACAGGAGCCCCTCCCCCCACACTGACAGGAGCCCCTCCCCCCACACTGACAGGAGCCCCTCCCCCCACAGTGACAAGAGCCCCTCCCCCCACACTGACAGGAGCCCCTCCCCCCAGCGCCCCGCATGTGGGGTGGCGTCTCAGAGCGCTTGACAGGAGTGGCTGACAGCGGTGAGAGCTACTGTCGGACCCCGGGAGGGCGGTGGGGGGGGGGGGGGGGTAACCCCTGAGCCGGGGCTCTGTGTTGATATTTATCTCTTCATTATGTGATAATAAAAGTCCTGGATCGCTGGGAAACGATCAGAAATACAAACTGTCAGCACTCACCCTCCTCGGCGGGGAGCTCTGTTTGTGGCGGTTCACCGGAGAGAGAGAGAGAGAGAGAGAGAGTAATGAGCAAATCAATAAACATCGGTCACCCGAATCACAACCACTTCATCACCAGGCGATCGGGGACACAATATGAGCGTTGCAGACAGTCAAATCATTCAGTGCACACACACACGCACTCACACGTGCACGCACAACCACACGCGTGTACACCCGCACGCGCGCGCACACACACACACTTACATGCGCGTGCACACATGTACACGCACGCGCACACACACACGTGCATGCACACACACGTACGCAGACAGGACCCCCAGGGCACACACGCACACACATGTACGTGTCCATGCGCTGGGGGAAGGAGGGGCCGGGCTGAGGGTAGGAAGTAGGGCCGGGGTTGGGAGGGAGGGGACGGGCCAAGAGTGGGGGGGCTGGGCTGGGAGGGGGGGGCAGGCTGGGGGAGGGAGGGGCCAGGCTGGGGGAGGGAGGGGCCAGGCTGGGGAGGGGAGGACTGGACTGGGGAGGAGGGGCCAAGCTGGGGAGGGAGGGGCCAGGCTGGGGAGGGAGGGGCCAGGCTGGGGGAGGGAGGGGCCAGGCTGGGGGAGGAGGGGCCAGGCTGGGGAGGGAGGGGCTGGGATCACCATAACAACGACATCAACAACAACAACAACACCCGCCAGCACCTACAGTTATACAGCGCCTGTTACACACGGACAGGGTCTCGGAGTGTGGCACTGAGCGGTCGGGGGGTGGGGGGCGGGGGGGGTGGGGGTGGGGGGGTGGGGTGGGGGGGTGGGGTGGGGGGGGGGGGTAACAATAGGTGTGGGAAGCACACACTGAGAGATGGAGAGGGAGATGGGGGAGAGAGAGAGAGACAGAATGAGAGCGAGGAGGGCAATTCACAACACGTGTTGGAAAGACAAGTTGTTTCTGGGTACAGAGTGACGTTATTAGTTTCCATGTTTAGTTTCAATGCAACGTGAAAAATAAATTAGAAATAAGTAGGCTAGATTACTCCCCTCCCTCCCTCCCGAAATAACATCGTGTGTCACGCTCTCTCTCTCTCCCAGCTCTTGGTGACCCACTCTAACGACAAACGGGCACAGACAGGACAATGCAATCTCTCGGCAGCTCGGGGAGGGGTAGTTGGGGGGGCGCGGGGGGAGTTGGGGGGGCACGGGGCGAGAGGGGGACCACTTTAACTATGAAACGTGGCAGGACTGAAAGGTTTCAGTGTATGCAGCCCGGAGTAATCGAAGGCAACGCTCCTTAAACAAAAGGGGTTTCAGTCAACCGGTGACAATCCCGGGGAGCCATGAGCAGAGGGGCTCGAGGCTATCACCATTGCTCTCCTCCGCCCTGCCTGCTCCCTCTCTCTACCCTCCCTCCAACCCCTTTCCTGGGATTGCGGGACAGGTACAGGGAAGAGACGGATTAGACACCACGTGACGCAGAAATAGCAACAGACTCGGCACAGAGTGGGATTAGCTGGGACACGGCGAGGGAGAGAGAGACATTCCCTGTCTGTTTTGCCAGAGCGCTCCAGGATAATAATCAAATAAATAATAATCCTTGCGTTTGATATAGCGCCGCATCACGTCTTCGAGACGTCTCAAAGCGCTTCACAGAATAGACTGTAAAGTGAATTGACTATATTTGTGGGTGAAACGCGGCAGCCAATTGCACGCAGCAGCGTCCCCACAGACAGCCGTGGATTGAAGTGACCGATTTATCATTGTCTTTTTCTCTTGAGGGATTATTATCAGGCGTGTGTGTGGAGTAAGGAAACTTGCCCAAGGTTTTGTCCTGCCGGGAATCAAACCCAGGTCTCTCGCTTGCGAGGCGAGTGCTCTAACCGCTGAGCTACAGGACTCCTGGAGGGATGTTTAACATCCACACAAACAGCTGAAGGATGCACCAACCCCCCCTCCACCACCGGCCAGAGGTCTGAGCTCAAATCTCGACGTGATGTGTTGAGTTGTCTGCAAAAGGCAAGGATGACCTTGTCACCAACAAGGAGTTGACAATAAACAGTGACTGACTGCCTACACACCCACACGCGCACACACACACGCTCACACCCACCCGCTCACACCCACCCGCTCACACACACCCGCTCACACCCACCCGCTCACACCCACCCGCTCACACCCACCCACTCACACACACCCGCTCACACACACCCGCTCACACCCACCCGCTCACACACAAGGTACTGTCACAGTATAAACCCCGGGAATGGATATTCTGTCCTTTGGATGAGATGTTCAACTGAGGTCCCATCTGCCTGTTGAAGTTAATGATCTCCCGCGGCGCTATTTGAAAAGAAAAGGGAGTTTCTCTCTCTCTCCCGGTGTCCTGGCCGACAATGCCCCAAATAAAATTGGTCGCTCCCTCCACGGCTGTTTGTGGGACACTGCCAAGCACAATTGGCTGCCATGTTTCACCCACAAAGTCACTGTACTTTACAATATACTCTGTGAAGGGCTTTGAGACGTCTGAATGACATGATAAGGCGCTATATCAAATGTAATATAGCCTTCAGCCGCCCTCCTTCCTCTCTGCCCTCCCTTATCCCACCCTGCCCCTCTCCCCCCCCCCCCCCCCCCACGCTCTGGTCCTGATCTCTGACTGCTCAGCGCCTCGGGACATCCTCCAAAAATGCTCTACAGATGTAATTTTGTTGTTGCTGTAAGGATTATCATCATCATTATTATTCTGAGCTGCTCTGCGCTGTGCGGTGTCTGAGGTTAGAGTCCCGCTGGCCGCCGGGCTCCTGCTCTCCCGCCTCGACACCTGGGATCAAAAGTGAACATGATTGTGTGTCCCGAGGCAACAAGTGGCCACAGTGCAGTCACCACGTCTCAGTTCCGAGAGAGCAGCCACACGGAGCCCGAGGGCGTGGGGTGGGGGAGAGTAGCTTTCACAAAGGAGGGGAGCGGACTGGGAGGGGGGCGGACTGGGAGGGGGGGCGGACTGGGAGGGGGGCGGACTGGGAGGGGGCGGACTGGGAGGGGGCGGACTGGAGGGGGCGGACTGGGAGGGGGCGGACTGGGAGGGGGTCGGACTGGGAGGGGGGGCGGACGAGAGACACAACACACACACTGATCCATAAAATGTAGGCACTTAAATGAGCTCCCATTATCTGTGTGTGTGTGTGTGTCCCTGTGGTCTGAGACGCTACCCTGTGTGGAGGGCGCTATATATGTGCAAGTTGTTGTTGTGTCCCTGTGTGCGTCTCTATGTGTATCCCCTGTGTGTGTGTGTGTGTGTGGTGTGTGTGGGAGGGAGGTGAGTCATTAGAATCATTATAAAGAGGAAGTTCAGTTAGCTAGTGGCCTTGGCGTGTCTCCTGCACTTCACATGTATGTGAGTAAGTTGCGTACGCAGGGAGCTGGCTGTTGGGCACACAGTGAATCACCACTGAACCCGTGTACACGACGCACTCCCCCCTCCCCTTCTCGCCCCCCACACTCGCTTAGTGACCTTTCAAACTAAAAGTTTCACACCCCGGATTAGCACCAAAAAGACACTCAGTGCTTGTCACCCGAGACACTGGATTGTTTCCTTACTCCACACGCCTCTGTTTACCGAGGAACCTGCTTGTTAATGGATTGGCAGATCGCTTTCCGGGGGGTAATAATCCCTCCAAGGTAAAGGTAATTTGGTCATTCAATCCACGGCTGATTGTGGGACACTGCTGTGAGTAATTGGCTGCTGCGTTTTGCCCACAAAATACACAGTCGATTCATAAGAACAGAAGAGCAGCAAGAAGACGGAAAAAAGTTCCAAGGTCCATCTGGTTCCCCTTCCACCTTCCTGGCGGTTGGCTGCACAAGTTCACTTTGCAGTATATTCTGTGAAGCGCTTTGAGACGTCTCGAAGAAGTGATAATACAAAGCGCTGTGTCAAATACAAGCATTATTATCATCATCATCGCCTGCACATTAGATCAGGCTGAGGGCATGGCTGAGGACCGCCAGCTGAGGAGGGGGCCGTTCAGTGACATTCCTCAAAGTGAATGATAGGATGTGGGGGGGTAGTGAGCCTGTGTCCAATTACACCCTCACCATCAGAGTATAAAGAGACCTTCCCTTCCCCCCCCCCACCCCCACCCACCCCCGCGGACCCTCAATAAAAGCCTCGCCCTTGTCCAAACACGAGCTGCAGAAACTGGTCTCCAAATACACACCGGATCCTCGACCATTACAGACAACCCAGGGCATCACCACAAGTCAGTCAGTCATTCAGTGACAGAGCAAACTTTGAGCAACATCTTCGCGCACAGAGGCCGGAGAGAATGTGGAACTCTGCCGGAAGCTGTGGTTGAAGCAAATAGCACCAACGTGTTGAAGAGGAAACTTGATGTACAAAATGAGGGAAATAGAGGTGGGGGTTGGTGGGGGGTGGGGGTAGGGGGTGGGGGGTGGGGTTGGGGGGTGCTTGTGTGGAGTATAAACACCGACACCGACCAGTTGGGCCAGGTGGCTGTTTCCGTGCTGTTTTGCTCTGCGCAGCTCTATATAAATTGTAAGACAACAGTCTCAGGCTAAGACCGCCAGGAATTCCGGGTGTTGGACCTCTCGCGGCAGCACCATGTGACTGCGAGGGGGCGGCAGTGAAAAAGGGCGAAAGCAGTGGCCAGGATGGGGGAGGGGAGCCGTGGGCACATTAACATGAGGAAGTAAAGCCACTGAACACGGAACCTGATTACAGGGGAAGCCACACACATCAGCCATCACACACACAGCTCGTGAGATTACACACTGAGCCCAGAGCGAGCGAGAGAGAGAGAGAGGGAGGGAGGGAGGGAGAGAGAGAGAGAACTCCCAACACAGCGTAACCTCAAGTTCAACAACAACAACAACATTACACTTAGAGAGCGCCTTTCACGTTGGGAGGACGTCCCGAAGCGCGTTCATCCCGGCTTCTCTATAACAACAACAATCTTCACATTTGATACAACGCCTTATCACGTCTTCGAGAGCGTCTCAAAGCGCTTCACAGGAT